ACCTGACCACTACCGCTATATTGCTTTTTGGGGATGTACATCCTAATCCAGGACCAGCTACCACTACCCAAAATAGGACAAAACTGAGTTGTTTACGAACGCTGTATCCTAACGCACGTTGTTTAAAAGCACCGGTAGATTCTCCCGACGACAACAGTCAAAAGATTAGCAAGTTGTCCATATTTCAGAACCTTGTTTACCTAAATCAATATGATATGGTATGTGTTTGTGAAACTTGGCTGAAAGACTTTATTCTTGATAATGAAATCCTGCCTGGCTATACCATCCACGGAAAAGACCGTCACGATAATATGAGAGGTGGTTGCAGAGTCCTTGTTGCTGTGAGAAACGAACTATGCTCATCTAAAAAACTGTTATTGGAAGGAGAACAGAGTGAACTACTAATGAGAGAACTTTATCCAGTAAACTGTACGAAACCCATACTAGGAGTTTTCTATAGACCTCCCCAAACTTTGACGTGGATACCGCAATAGAGTTGAGAAACTCTCTCGATCGGTTGGAAGAATCATGTCAACTTGTTCTGGCCGGTCAGTGATTTCAACTTACTCGATATTAATTGGTCAATGGACTTTCCTTCCCCGACCTCGCAGGCTGGTTTCAAAGAATAACTTTTTTTGTGATATTAATCCTTAAAGAAAATATTTATGGTCTGACACACCTGCGTGGAAATAAACTAGACTGTTTTTTATGTAATGTTCTGGAGCTCATCACACATGTCAACTGTGTGAATCCTACTGATCTATTTCCATCTGATCATTTCCTTATTGAATTCGACATCAAACTTCGTTTCCAAAAGGCAAAAGCGGTGAGACGAACAGTGCATGACTCTAAAAACGCAAATTTCAATGCTGCTCATGATCATCTTTGTACGTCCCTCTTCCCTTTGGCGTAACTGATGAGGCTGATATTGAGGAATGCTGGAAAGTTTGGAAAGACTCATTTCTTACAGCTGTAGATCAGTTTTTCCCCAAGAAAACAGTTTTGGATACCAACACGAACACCTGGAAGTACTGAAAGCATCTGATCAATAAGAACTACACAGCTCTACGTCAATATCGACTGAAACGAACGGAAGAAAGAAGCGAAAGTTACGAAAGTTGACGCAAGAAACTAAGAACTTGATTAATTTAGCTAAAGCGACAATAATATTTAGAAAAAGTTCAGGATTCCTTCATAAAATCACCAAAATCATTCTGGTCCTCCCATAAACATATCCTTCGCAACCGAAGTTCTCCATCTACCAATACCTATAACAACGTAACTGCAATAACACCGAACAAAAAGATTGAACTTTCTAATGAATACTTTGCTTCTGTGTTTCTTCCAAAGTCCACGTCCAAGAATATAGACCTGAACATGACTGACCAAGAAATATCTCAAATACAGATCTCGGAGTATGAAGTGAAGCAATGTTTAAACAACTTGGACACATCAAAAGTTTATGGCCCTGATGGAATACCACCACGTTTGCTTAAAGAATGTTCAAACGAAATCTCACTAAGCCTCTGTAATCTCTTTAACAAATCCTTAGCAACCAGGATGTATTCCCGTTGAGTAGAAACAATCAAATAATTATCCATCCAGATTAATTTAAAAAAATCATAAAAATTTAAAAAAAAGTAATTCGGATTATTTCATTCAATCCATACATTACAAAGTCAGCGCCTCTTTTTCAACAGCTAAAATTGTTAAACCTTAATCAAATAAACGATTTATGTATTAGCCTTTTCATGTTTGATTACATAAATGGAAACCTAGCAGCCTCATTTAATGATTTTTTACCACAAATACTAAAATACACCATCATGACACCAGAAAGTCAAATTCTATTCAAAAAAAATATTTCAGAACAAATTACGGGAAATTCTCAATTAAAACGAAAGGAACAGATTTATGGAATAAAACTCCATCACAAATAAAATATTTTTCTTCAGAAATACCCTTTAAGCGTGCAGTAAAACTCAAAACAAATAATAACAATATAGCCTAAAATAAGATTTATTTTATTTGAACTTATTGCATCATATACAATATATATTATAATTGTATCAATGTAAATATACGTTAGTTCATAGCTTGATCACCTGATAATTTTTAAAATATTATAAATGTATCAATTTAATACTAGGGGAACTACTTGTAAAAGCCTTTTGGGTTTATCTTGTTCTCCGTCCAAACATGTTTTGTAAAATACAACTTGTACTGTATATATATATCTATAAAGTTCAAACTATTGTAACATATTTGAAAAATTAAATTGAATTGAATTGAAAAAAAAATCGAATGTTATTCCCATGCACAAGAAGGAGTGGGTTGAGCCAACTACAGACCCATTTCTCTCCTATCCATAATATCGAAAGTTCTTATCCCACTCGTATACGACCGAGAGAAGAAGGACATAATTTTATATTTTAAATGCAAGAACAACTTCGTAGACTTAGATATCTCACAGTATGTCGGCAAGCATAACACGTGCAGGCACCTCTTGCCTTTTACGAACCGCATTATGTAGAACAAGCACATTCCAAAATTCGTACTTTGTTAGAATTGTAAGACTGTAGAACTATGTATGAAAATCAGCTCCTCCCAACTGCTAAGACACTCTTTCCAACTTTAAAACATACCTACACAAGACTTATCTCCACTTAACAGCTACTACTTACACTCATGACGAACCAAACTCGCACTCTTTGATCACGACCAACTGACATCTTCCACTCCTCCATGTAACCCTTTCTAACTCTTCTCTCTTTTCATCTACTATGCTTCTAACCTTCCGTTTCTCTTTTCTATTTTATATATTTTGTAATTTTGTCTGTTCTGTAATATTTAATGGTGAGCACCCTGCATGGGACCTGGTCTCGTTTGTGCCTCGCCTCTTTTGGCACTTGTTGTTTGATGTTGTCCATATGTTTCTCAACTGTGATAGTCTATGTGTATTATTCATGTGTCAAAACAAAGCTTAAATAATAATAAACGTGATTGGCTAATTTGGGGTCACGTGGCTTAAGATAAATGCAATGTATATCCCGCCTGTGTCAAGCGAAATTTCTGAATTTCTGACCTCTGCGAAATACCTGACCAACCATAACGGCTTAATATGAATTGCACATGTGCAGAACTACGATAATAATTTATTTAGCAAGTCAGGAATTTCGCGTGACACCTACCTTGCTAGCAGTGGTTTCTATAGATGAGCTGAGGAGAAACCACTGCGAGCAAGCGAACGATTTTCTATCGAGCATGCGGGAAGATCGCGTGATGCGACCAATGCGACGTACATCACTAATTTGACTTTCTCTCCTGTAGTTTATTATCTGTAAACAAGCGTGACATAGTACTGTTTTGTTTGTTGTCTGTCAGTTTTAATCAAACAACTTATTATTCTACATGCATTTCACAATTTATGTATCGGTTTTAATATCGTTATTGCCAATACTAAAATATTTGGAAATCGGTGTCTCACTCTACAAATTGTGCATTTTCAATTTTTGTGTTTATCCGATCAATATCATTTTTTTATTTGGTCTACAAACTTTATTTGTGTTACTTTAACGTTGGAGCTTGTGTTAAGGTTTTCGGTATAGTAAATTCCAATTTCCAAAGTTTCCAAATAATATGTTTACTGTATTACTGTGGATTTTGACAATTTTTGCTCGTTTTTATTAATCGTCGCGATCGCTACAAAACGTATTTCTCTAAAAGGTTGATTTTTGTTGCAGTGTAGAATTTATAGTTATTCTTTTGAACTCTATGTGGTTTTCAAGTCATCGTGATGTATAATTTCTTACATCTTATTCAATATTTGTACAGTTATAATATTTTGTACAAGGAATTATATTTATATCGTGTTACTATATTTGGAACGTGATTTTGTTTTGTACAACTGGCTCGCATTTTACCAGCAGTGCCAAGCATTTACCCATGCGCACAACAACAAAAACTTGTCAAACTTGTTTTACAAGTTCGTCATTTAATGTTTTCTCCGTGAATCTGGACGGTGGCTACATCAAACGGTCATTCGTTTGGTTGCTCGCAGTGGTTTCTTCTCAGTTCAGCTAAAAACCACTGTTAGCAGGGTACGTGGCAAACAAGTGCAAAATTCAGTGTTGCTCAATCGACTGGCTACTTACATATATGCATAATTAAACAAAAATATGTCGGCGCAACTCGCAAGTTCATAAACAGCGATTTTTCAAGTTTGTTAAAATAGAGAATGTAAAAGAGAGGAAAAAATAGGCAACAGGATATGCCTGAAACCATTTAAGTACAGTAGGTTCTTTTAATTTTAAACTCGTTTACACTATAGAGTTTTTGTCATGAAATACAATTGTTGTTATAAATGTTGTTGATTTTTCTTTTGTCACTAGATAACAGAACGCATAATGCCTGTTGCATCAGGATATAGTCAGTGTTTTGAGGCTCTTGAAAAAAACAAAACTAACTGTTTCCTTTGAGAGCTGACATTAAGTGTATATACGCTGCTACAACAGTTGTGGTCTTTCAACACAAAAGTATACATGTATGTTATCTTCTTAATTTTTCCTTTAAAGAATAGAGAATTAAAATTTCTTCAAAAACAAAATTGAAATACAGTTTATACTATATAAGGTAGGAATCTAATTTCTGGCACCCATTGTTCGAATTTGTTTTAAATTTAAAGGCTTACTACTCTTCAGTTTTCATCTCATTGTACACTTTGTCACTTTGAAAGTTTAATGAAGTTCGATGCGTACTAATGATGTATAAAGAAGTCCAAAGCAAACAACTTAATGTACGTCTTGCGATAGATGAACCAGGCGGAAATCGTAATCTTAATTAAGAGAAATATTAATGCCCAGCAGAAAATACGTAAAAGAGCCATTGATAACAAAAATATATTATTTTGTGTGTGCTGGTGTTATGCACTCATGATGAATATGATGTTTGTGATGTTACTCTGAGTGTGCATCCACACCGGGCAAGTTGAAAAGTTAGCTTGACCACGGTTGGAATCGAACCCGCGACCTTTGGGATACTAGTCCAATGCTCTGCCAACTGAGCTACGTGGTCTTTGTGTATGTTGGTGTTATGTACTCTCTGTGTGTGTGTGTTGGTGTTATGTTTGTGATGTTACTCTCAGTGTGCATTACTTATGAGTTACTCAGCTCCGAAATATCATCAGCTCGAATCGACTTGACCACGTAGCTCAGTTGGCAGAGCATTGGACTAGTATCCCGAAGGTCGCGGGTTCGATTCCCACCGTGGCCAAGCTAACTTTTCAACTTGCCCGGTGTAGATGCACACTCAGAGTAACATCACAAACATCATATTCACCTTGAGAACATAACACCAACACACACAAAATAATAATATCATAGAATACACTGATATCGAAGGAACTAGACTAAGATCCGAAATATCATCAACTCGAACCGACTTGACCACTGACGTAGCTCAGTTGGCAGAGCATTGGAATAGTATCCCAAAGGTCGCGGGTTCGATTTTCACCGTGGCCAAGCTAACTTTTCAACTTGCCCGGTGTAGATGCACACTGAGAGTAACATCACAAACAACAACAAAAATATAGTTTAAAATATTTATTAGAAAGCTTAAGACATCTTCAGAGCAATGACATACAAAGCGAAAAACACAAAAATATGAATAAATTACAACTATTTACAAGATTTATATTAAAAAGTAGAAAGAGAAATGGATCAGAGTAGAAGTAGAGGGACCGAACTGCCTTGTAAGTTGAGAGAGTGTTTGAGTTTGTTAATTAATTAATGTGAAGACTTTCTCGAATGCGGAGTTCGTCTGGAGAAGAGGAACAAGAAATAATCTTAAAATCATTAAGAGAGGCGGAGTGACTAGTGCTATCAAGATGGGAAAGGATACTAGACATGGTCGGATTGCTTTTTACTGCCTGTTAGAAGAGAAACACCGAAGTGTTCAGATACTCGTGTGTGCAAGTGACGGACCGTTTGACTCAAATATCTTGCGGAACAGCAACGACACGTGAAAGAATGCACAACACAAGATCTTAAAGCATTAGGAATTTTGTCCTTAAAGGTGAAGCGTTGAGACAAACGTAAAGTTGGAGGAAAAACGAATCTAATATTAAGATGAGGAAAGGCTAAGGAACAAAGACGTGAGATTTGGGCGCTAAAGTGGGGTAAATATAGAAACGCAGTACCTATCAGTCTGTGCGAGTTGTGTTCACATTTAAAAAGTAATTGAGTGGTTAACAGTAATGTTGCCAGGAGAGCCTCTATATTTTATCAAAAGCTGCATGCATTTCACTCTCGCACTAAGTAAATTACGATCTGCCAATAAACATCTTCACTTGATCAGTTCAGCTGTTTGATCGATCGCACGAACAGGCATGTAAATTATTTACACACGATTGTCACACAATAATTTTGACATGCACTGTTTAAAGATTTATTTTTCAAACTCCTGCCCGGACTTACCAAAAACGCCATAATTCTCAATATATTAAGTATAGAATTTACTCTTATAGAGTCCTGCATACAGGTATTCATGTATGTCTAGCTAGCTATCTCCAAGCAACGACTCTGGCATTTTCCTTGTTCAAAACAGCTGAAAACCTGATGGGAAAAACTATTGTAAGTCTCACCTTCCCAAGACTCCGTAGCATAACCACCGAAGATGAAGTTTCCAACTTTTATTATGGTCACGGTTGGTTTCTTGTTATCGCATTTTAAGTGGAAGGTACTGGCTGCCCATCCATGTAGAGTTGCACGCCAACACAGCTTCCAATTAGTGCTTGACTTTCCGGTCCATGAAGTTAATCTTGTCAGAAAGTCAGCTGGTTCTCCAGATAATATGACGGAGTCAGAAAGTGTCGGGACTAAATGAGAATAAGAAACATCATGAAATTCTCGGGTTAACACATCTTTTTATCTATTGTATTTTTGTATCAAGAATTAAGTCCCAAAAAAGTTCCAAAAAATATCAAGCCAGCTCTAGAAAAACAAAGTTGTTGCGGGGGCCTCATCATTCGGACTCATCCAATTTTGATCGTCTTTAAAAAATCTCACTCGCGGATGTGTCTTTCCAAACTGGACTCAAATTCGTATACCCTTATCTATCTATATATAGATATAAAGAATCAAACAAACCTCGTGCAGCAAAATAATAAATTACTTAAGGTGGAGTAACACAGACAACAAAATTGCTGCACTTGCAACAAAAAGTGAATTCATTGAATGCTAATTATTATTCAGAGGACAGTTTCGTCTTGAAGTTGCAGCACACCCGAGCGAACATGCGTAAACATTTTTTTAGCATGCATGGCTTGATATGAGTTCTTGTTGCAGTAACTTTTTATTCTCATTCTATTTCATCTTTATCTTGCGCAGCAATCTTTTTCTTTAACAACTCACCAATTTGGCAGAGATCTCCACTGTATCCTTTGGACACTCACACCTGTAAGGATCAGAACCAGGTCCATCTTTGAGATAAATGATCGTCTTTCCCTCATTTTTACAATTCTTCATTTTATGACATGGAACCTGTGAAGGGAATGTGTTAGAATTCAGCTCACTGTAAACTAAGAGAAACTCAGCCTGCATGCAAATTTAATTGTTTAAGCTGAAATAACGGAATAACATCACAAGTTAACTACAATAATTGGTCCAGTATTTTTAAATTAAACGAGAACGAGTTTTAATTGATAATATATACCGCAGTGGATGTCTTTAAAATATAGCTAACATTTTTCATTAAAAATATTTTCGGAACTATAGGGTAAAATGATGCAATAGTGTATCAAAAATATATAATTTTCCCATAAATATATATATATATATATAGGACGATACTACACGACACAACTTTTCCCAAAAACTGTCACATGCAACCTGCTTACAACTTTAGTTGTACTGTGTAAATCAAGCATAAAACACGCCTATACGTCGTCACTCGCATGCTACACGTTTTGTTATAGGGACGAAAGAAAAATCAGCAACATTTATGCAGCATAAATTTATTGCATTTCATGACAAAAACTCTATAATGTATAAACTAAAAGAACCTACTTAAACGATTTCAGCAGCATATCCTGTTGCCTGTTATGTATTTTTCTTCTGTTGTATAGTTTATATACTTGGGAGTTGTGCCCACATTTTGTTTATTTGTATACTGTACACGTAGCCGGTTCGGGTGGGCATCGATTTTTCACTTGCTGCCCGGCGGAATACGGTATATATAGCTAGTAGGAAAATTTGTGAAGATCGCAAAATTGTCATGCATTCTGTTCACTAGCTGCTTGGGCACAAATAAACTAATTCCGCGTATACTATAGTAAATAAGTTATTTAAGACTATTGGTATTGGCATTGCTTGCTAGGCATTAATAAGCTAATTCGTGGGTAAAGTTTATTAGCTAGGCTAAGTATATTTTTACTGCAGTTTCATACCTTTCTTGGAGCAATGGGATGATAAAATATCCAGCCTTTGTCATCAGCGTTGCAATCGTGAAAGTTGTGATCCAGCGTGTGTGTTAACTGGCAGTTTGGAGTCTTCTTCTGGTGCTTTTTCTTAAAATTGTATCCAGCACAGAATGGATATTGCAAACACTTCATGGCACAATGATTCTGGAAATCATACGTCGCTTCAGACAAAATGTTTTTTATCAAAGGACAAACATCTACAACGAAAATAATATTTATATATCAAGCAAAGAAAAACTTAACGTTTATTGGTAACTAAAATTGTTGCAGAAATGACATGGAAATATAAAAAAAAACAATACATATAGCCCTGTGAGTTAGAAGCAGGAATAAGGACTTTCCTAAATTAAACTTACCTCCATACAGCAAGCGAAAAGGAATCGCCACGTTTGTGAAATCCTCAGGCATGCAGTATTCTTTTTCCATTGTAACTGCATGTGGTAACAAGATCAGGAACAGAATTCGCACAGACATGAGCGCTGTTCGAAGAAAGCGTTTCATTTTGTTGTTATGAGAGAACACAGACTCGGATTGACCAATTTTTTGGTTGTTTTCTGAGCGTCAACAGCAAAACTGAACTAAGTGGCAAAATTTTGTACCTTAGGCCTATTACAAGAAATGCCTGCGGAGGTGGCTAGGACGTTATATAGCCTGATACCCACTATGGCTACGTGATGCTCACTATGCAATTACAAGCTTATTAAATAGAATGCTTACATTGCAAAACCGACAAGCACTAATTAACCCATCATTTTTCATTTGCGTTTTCATTGCATGAATTGTCACAAAGTATCGCTTTAATAATTAAATTGTTTCTCCAAGTTTCACCTGTTCACGGACAGAAGGATATAGTCTTTTGGAACACATTTAATTTAACACAAACTTAAAAAATTTTAGACAGCAATAGCTGTCTCTTCTGTCGGCTGACGTACAGTTTTAGCAAATATGAAATTACATGCAGTTACTCCAAAAAAGTGTGCATAATTAGCCTTACTCTAATTTTTCGCAAACGATTATAACAATGTGAAAAGCAATATTTCAGAACATACTAACTATATTTACAGAGTAAATTTACCATCATACACCCATAAAATGATAAAATGTCGCCGTTATGTGGTGTTACGCTCGCAGGATTGGCAAAACGTACCCCAAAAATGGCGGCGTGAGAAAGGCTAACTACAATTCACGCATTAGTCGAAATCAATTTTGTGTTCTAACTATACGCATCATGCCGAAGAGAAATCGTTCAGTATTCAATCCAATTAGTATACTGAACGAGATATACTAAGTTTATAATTAAGGAAATTCGTAAAGACAATGCACTTAATTAATAAAATAGCCAACATATCCAAAGGCGTGAATTATTAGCTGAATTGTTTTCAAAAGTCAACACATTGTCATTGATGTGAATATATATATATATATATATATATATATATATATATATATATATATATATATATATATATATATATATATATATATATATATATATATATATATATAGGTTTGGCCCCATTACAGGCGAGAAAAATGTTTCTTTATTCACAATAAAATGTTCACATAAAATTATTTGATGTGCAATAATATTTTTAAACGTCAGGTGTTTCGTGAGTGCAGAGGTCACTTGCTAGCCTCATTTTCATGTTCAAGTTTATCGCATTCATAAGAATTTTTGGATATTTACATTAATATGCCTTATTAACGCAGTTTTGGGGGAAAAAATGGAAAAATTTCGATTAATATACAGTATATCTGTATTTTTTAAACCAAAAAGTATCTTAGTGATGTAAAACAGCATCTAAAGGGTTTGAATTGTTTCCAGCAAAAGTTAAACAACTATCTTTGCTATCGCAACAATGACGTTTCAATAATGCGGATATTTTAGCTTTAAAAGAATTAAACTCGAAAATGAGATCGATGACCCCTTAAATTTTATTTAATTTCGTAAAATGATTTTTGATTTTCTTCGCAAATCTAAGAAAATTTTGTTGTTGTTAAGAAAATTTATTATGAATAATGACATTTACGTATTTGTGTGATGTTACTCTGAGTGTATATCCACACCGGGCAGGCTTGAAAAATATGCCCGGCCATGGCGGGATTCGAACCTACGACCTTTGGAATACTAACCCAATGCTCTTCCAACTGAGCTACGCGGTCAGGACGGTTCGAGTATGCGATATTTCGGAACTGAGTCTAGTTCCTTCGATATCAGTGTAATCTAATAATCATGAAATCTGCTGTGTTGGTGTAATGTACTCAGGTGAATAAGATGTTTTGTGTGATGTTACTCTGAGTGTATATCCACACCGGGCAGGCTTGAAAAATATGCCTGGCCACGGCGGGATTCGAACCTACGACCTTTGGAATACTAGCCCAATGCTCTTCCAACTGAGCTACGCGGTCAGGACGGTTCGAGTATGCGATATTTCGGAACTGAGTCTAGTTCCTTCGATATCAGTATAATCTAATAATCATGTAATCTGCTGTGTTGGTGTAATGTACTCAGGTGAATAAGATGTTTGTGTGATGTTACTCTGAGTGTACATCCACACCGGGCAGGCTTGAAAAACATGCCTGGCACGGCGGGATTCGAACCTACGACCTTTGGAATACTAGCCCAATGCTCTTCCAACTGAGCTACGCGGTCAGGACGGTTCGAGTATGCGATATTTCGGAACTGAGTCTAGTTCCTTCGATATCAGTATAATCTAATAATCATGAAATCTGCTGTGTTGGTGTAATGTACTCAGGTGAATAAGATGTTTGTGTGATGTTACTCTGAGTGTACATCCACACCGGGCAGATTACATGAAAAATATGCCTGGCCACGGTGGGATTCGAACCTACGACCTTTGGAATACTAGCCCAATGCTCTTCCA